ATTCAATTTTTTTTTTTTTTTTTTGGTACCAGGGATCAAACTCAGGTCTTTGCACTTACAAGGCAGGCAGCGGAACTACTGAGCTAAATCCCCGGCTTAAATGTCATTCTTTAAATGACATTAATCCTTTTCACTTTGGAAATCCTCTGCTTTTTACAGATGAAGTTTCAATGTGTCAGGAAAAGAGGAAAACCAAGCAATGACTTTTTGTGTAAGCTTCCCAAGAACTTCGAACCATTACTTATATTTATGTAATACAAGAGGGTTGTCTCATGTAACCCTTACTACTACCCTGTACAGAAGGCAGAAAAGATACTGCTGGGAGTTTCTCCCATGTAGGGTAGGGAAATGGAATGCTGAAAGGTTAAGCAACAGTGCAAAGTCACATAGCTCATTAGTGTCAGAGGCAAAGCCCAGGCATTACGGCATTTTGATTGCTAACACATTTCGGTTTGATTGTCATCTCTTGTGTATTTGATTATACTGTGGAGATCATGGGTTTGTTTTGGCGGTGGCTCTTAACTTGGGCCTTAAACCCTATGTGGATTAACTGTCTTGTCGCAGGTGATTGTAACCAGGAGGATAGCAAGGCATTGCAGCTAGAACTCAGAATTCACATCACACAACCTCAGGTTCACAGGAACACAAGAATTACAAGCTTACTGAATTAATAATTTTATCAGAGTGGTTCAAAGCACCCACCACTACCTCTTCAAGGTTCTTGTGCGGGGAATAGTTCAGTGATGTGTCTCATTACAGGCCTTTTTGAAGGAGAGACAGGTATATTTCTCCATTCAAGATTGAATGTGTGACAGTGATTAGAACTATTGAGAAAACATCAAGGTTCTCCAGATGATTCTTTGGAATTCCTTAGGTCTCTACAGAGGCTTAATGGAAATAGTCAGATCTCTGCATTTTAAAGGAACTGCCTAGAATGGCTCTTTACTATGGTATATATAATTTGGAAATTTTGTTTTAATATTTTATTGTATTTTTTGTTTTTCCTTTCAGAACCAGGTATTGCTTTTTAAATTCTTGAGGAGTCTTCTTGACCCAAGGTATGCCTTTTTATAACTTTGTATAATGTGCAGTTGGGAAATAAATTGAATTTAAGATAGTAGCTCGTGATGTTCAAATAGCAATATGAATTATTAATATTCACTTATTAATAGGGGTAACCATTACATAAAAATTATTCATGATCTGAAAACAAATATTGAGGTAATGTTTTTCTTTCTATCTCAGCATGAGAATACATAGTTCTCATCAATGTAAATAAACTAATGAAGCCATACCAAGAGGACCCATTTCAGAATTTGTTAACTAAACAGCTTCCCCTTTCTATCCTAACTTCACTCCTGCCTGTTCCTTATTCCATGCTGTAGATGGGTGGCTCTACTATTTAAAGAAACCTCCTCTTTCCCAGCCTGTCTCTAAATCTATTACCTTTTAAACTCCACTTAATTTTGAATAAGTTCCGGGTGGTATAGAAAAGAAGTTTAAATGTCTTTCAGTTGCTACCGTGAAACTTAAGAAAACAAACCCCAGATGAAGATGACATTACTAATGTGTTTGTAAGCTTTGCATGTGAGATCTTAAGTTTTACCACAGCTAAGTGGAGTACTTTGGAAGTTGAGTGTAATAATATGTAACATCTCTAAAACAGTAACTGGACCAGAAGTATGTATCAGGATCACTAAGGGAGCTTTCAAAAATACATATTCCTGGGCCCAGCCCAAAATAGATGATGGTGAAATAATCTTGCTTTTTTTTTTTTAAATAAAAGGATACCAGTATTAGGAGGATATTTTAATGCATGCTGAGAATTAAGCACAGACATACTTAATCTTAAATATATCTTGGGACAGCATAGCTTTCATATTAGATGTACAAATTTTCGGTTTTATTACATATATGCTGACCATTGGAAAACAGCTATTTATATTAATTATAATAGCAATTTTGGTTATTTCCATATCCTCTGCTACTTTTAAATGGTAGATACTTATGCAGTACTTCAGTTGATTGAAATAATTTTTTGAAAGCTCAATCATTTACATCTTGAGAAGGCTATGCTGCCTTTAAATTTAGAATCAAGCAAATGTGTGTGCACATGGTTGGAAAAAGCTGTCTAAGTACCTCATTCCATCCCAGGTCAAGACCCTTTCAAAATATCTATGTTTTCACTCCCACTCTCAGGTTATTACTAAAGTTAGATGTCTTTTAGAATTTCTTAATTCTTAATTGTATTTTTCTCAGAGCCAGTTTGGGCTCTAGTCTACTTCTAGGTGTAACTGATGGAAATAGCTTAGAATCAGAGTTAGAAAGGGAGAGAACTACAGAGAGCACAAGGAGAGCTGAGCAAGGGAACCTGAGAGAAGGGCACAGACTGAGCTGAGAGGAGGAGGAAGAAAGCCCCTAGCATACCTCACCCTTCTGCAGAGCCTGGCCGCCTTCTTCCCCGTGGCACAGCTCCCTCTGACCCTCACCAGTGCTTCCTCCAATAGGAGAACCATTCTCTTCTTGGGATATGTTTTTTTAACGAAGTCATTTTCTCCAACTGTTCTACCTGGAGATACTCAAACTGGAAGAACACAAGAAGCTTGGCATTGAACTTGACATTTTTTTCAAATCCAATAAAATGTCAAAGATGATATTGACCAAATTTTTTTTTAAATAAAAAGATACCAGCACTAGGTAATATAAGTATCAGTATAGTCATTTGCTCTGGTATCACAGTCACTACTTAAACTTCATCATAATAGAAATGGCAAGTCACAGAAGGAGCAGATGTGTTCCGTGATCTATACCTACACTGGAAAGATGCTGATAGGGCAGAACTCTCAGAGTACTATAAATGTTGTTTTGTTTACTAACACACCAAAAATAATTTTACATTTATGTGAGAAAAAAAGTATATTTTAACCTCTTTAAAATAATCCTAGCCCAAGGACATTACTCTAATTTAACTTGTCACACTTTCCTCTCCTGGGACATCAGTGTAGCTGTAAGGCCTTCCCTGACCCACTGCAGAGAGAAGCAGTGCAGCCATAGCCCTTTTGCTTCCTCTTGTACCCCTCACACAGCAGCAGGACCTGAAAAGACCACACTCTCAGTACAGCAAAATGTCCAGCTTTACTCTTACCTAACAGCAGTTAAGAGCCCTGAAATTATTGAATTGAAACCTTAGCACCACCTATAAAAAAGAAACTTGAGAGGCTAAAGTGGGAGTGTTATTTAAGCTCAAGAGTTCAGGACCAACCTGGGCAACACAGCCAGACCCCATCTCAAAAATATAAACATTCTTTAAAAGCTCACTTTTATATGATTCACATACAGTTGTCAGAGACCTCGTGTTCCTGCTTTGAGAATCCCAATTCCTTAGCTCATCATATTTTGTCCTCTTGCTTTATGTCTTATAGTATAAGCCTAACCCACAAAAGTCTAGTTAGCCCATAACATAAATGTATAATACAAATAATGTACTGAATTCTAGATTGAGGGGGGAAGATGAGGTTAGGGTGGAATGCAGAGGGAGTGTAGAAAAAGAATTTCTCTATTTCTTGCTCTCAGAGCTGTTCTTGGACAGAGTTTTGGATTATAGAATGTTTATTTTGTGTCCTCTTTAACCTCATTTCTGTCCCCCTCTTTCCAGGGGCACAGGATGCATGCACTTTTTCAGGTTTTCTGCTGTAAGGTGCTAAGCACCTGTAGATAGTATTCTTCACAGATTCTAAAATCTCAATGACCTCTCTCCATGACCCAGTCAAAATGCTTTCATTGCTTTGTCAGTATTTGTAGTATTTGACACCTGTACAGTGAGGCATATACACACAATATGAATACATACGGAACAAGCATATACACAGAAATAATCTCTAATACCAAGTGACTTCAAACATGAGGAGAATGCAGATAGCGTGGACCAGTTTACATTAATCTCTGATTGACTGGCCATCACATTTTAGCCTTTTAAAAATGACTGATTTCCTCTCTGCCCTCTGAAGATTCACTGGAATAAACCAAGAGAGATTAATTAGGAGAAAAGATGAACAAACTTATTTACATGCAGAAGGGGGAAAAATCACAGCATGGAGGAAAATCAAAAGTGTGATGAACCACAATCTCGGCATTATATACCTTGGTTACCTGCTCTTGTACAGGAGATGAAAATAGGGATGTGGACCCTTTCTAGGAGAATAGAAAATAATTTCTAGGGGCCCTTGATGGGCTTGGAGAACAGGCTGTGGCCAAGGAAAAAATGTTTGGCCCATAGAATGGCAATGGTTTGTGAAAATTTCTATGTGAGATGAAACTAGAGGACAGTGGTGTGTGACAAAACTCTGTCCCGGTGTGTTGACAAACTTCTTGCTTCCTAAGATATGAGTTGATTTATTCAAGGCTCAGGGAAAGGACAAAAGAAATTGTTTTTCTTTAGTGGATCTAGACTTTAGGCAAATGCGGAACATTACAGAAAGCCTCTCCCTGCTCGCTTGGAGGGGGACATGGGAAATCATTGGGGCCTGGATTCTGAGGTAAGTCCTCCAATCTCTCAGCCTGTCTAAGCACCTGCCTCTGAGGTCCAGCATTATGCTTATTGACTAACCAAAGAGGTTAGAGTCGCATCACATACCAGGAAAAACACAAGTATGGAAAAAGATGTAAGGACAAAGAACATCAAAAGTAGGTGGTCTGGCCCTGCCTCACAGCTTTCACTGGCATCCAACTTGAGATTATTTTTGTCTTTGCTTTCTCCTTTTCTGTTCTTAAGTCATAGTTTTGTTTTTTATTATTTTTTTAAGCTCCAGGTTTTTTCCCCATGAAATGCCTATGCATTTCTGGAGAATAGGGAAAAGGAAGATAGTTATTTTGAAGACTATTTCTTACCAGATTTTTTTTATTTGCTGTCGCTCCCAAAGCCTGAGTTACAAGGATCATTACTCCTATATATGTAGTTTATACATACTTGATTTAATATTTACATTGAGTTGTTTTTGAGAATCATTTTTGAGAGGGTCATTTTTTTAACAACACTTAAAGGAACATAGCTAGTTAAATTCTTTTGTGTATTTCTCTATGCCTTTACCCAATTTATTTAAGTTATCTTGATTATATAATACTTTTATCAGTAGAATTAATTGACCTACAAAGATATTGATGGCATCTGCACATGGAAAGATTACATAGCTTTGGGTGGAAAGGTGGTTAATCCTCCAGAAACAAATTACTTGCCTGAAATGAGGCCGGCAGCTCAGGAGAGAAAGGATTTGCATCATTCTTCCTCCCATCTCTCCTTGGGGCAGCTGCTACTTGGAGTGTGCCCCGCCCCCATCCCTGTGGCCTCTTGCTGGCCAGGAACTCTCACAGGAGTTCTGATATATTCAAATCTGGCCCAGGCCTTTTGTGCAGCAGCAAGTTTCAAGGGTAATAAAAAGGACACTGATGGCTTTTGAGCTGTGTAAAGAACAAAGAGGATGTGCAGATATATTTATATTCAAAATGCTCTCCTCAGTGCGATCTTGGTAATGTCGATTTATCCTTTTGTTAGCAAGGTCCTAGAGGCCTTTGAAATATGTAATACCACCTTCCTGTAGGTGGAAAAAACCCCACATAAAACATCACATTGTCTTTTTAAGTCTTTAATCAAAATAAAGGAAAAAGTGAACATTACTAAGAAAATGAGTAACTTTGCCAAGAAGCAAATTATAGATTATAAAAATGGTTCTACATTGGGTTTTAGTTGAATCTGTCAGTATTTCTGTGGGTATTTTTTGAGATATTGACATGCAGTCTCAAAATTACAGTATTTAAGCACTGTCCCTGGCACAGGGAAGGAAATAGGCCCTTGCCTTTAGAGCCTGCTCATTCTAATGAAGGAGATAGACTAGTAAGCAGGAAATCCTAGTTACAGTAAAATCTGAAAGTGATAATCACATTTTCACTTTCTTTACTTACTGTCTCTGCACCTTCTCAGCCACACTACACAAACCAGTCAGTCAACAAAACCTACGAGCTGCCTCTTCCATGTCTCTTGTGTGCGAAGCCTCCTGTCTACAAT